GGATTTACCTCACACCCTCACTCTCTCTCCTTATAATTTCCTTCCTTCCCTTATTTTTCCTTCTCGCTTCCTTGCTCTCTTCCCCTCTTTCCTTAGCCCCTGGGGCTGATGAGTTCCCAGCCCCACTTGAATTGCTGATTGTTGTGTAGTTTTTAATTTGTCTTTGTATCCTGTTTATCTCGTTTGTTTTTGTATTGCCCCCCTCCCCATGTGTTTGTTCGCCGCCCTGAGTCCCCCCAGGGAATAGGGCGGCATACAAGTATAATAAATACAAATACAACTGCCTTGCTTAGCAACAGAAATTTTGGGCTCAATTGTGGTTGTAGATTAAGGACTATCTGTATTTTCTCATTTTGATATTGGCTTTGCTTCTTATTTGTATATGCTTTTCAATTTTTCTGCATATAACCAGAAAACCTGTTAGGGACTACGCAGATATTATAGATAAAATAAATATCTGTTCACCCCTCATTGAGATCCCAGTCTAGGTCCTGCTTCTGACCGCCACTCCTGTTGAAAAGCAACGTGGCCTCTGTGTTCATGAAGAGCGGCCTGCCTGACTTATTCCGGTGGCCCAGAAAGTTCAGAACTCCAGATCTCTTTTCTCTAACCACCTGGAGCTGGATTGACTAATCTGTCTGCGGATAATCCCAGTCACCATTCTGATGCTGCCTCCCCATTCTGGGCCTGGATTAATTCCCAGAGTGAGACCACGTGGGAAGCAGCCCCTCAGGTTGGGCTCATTCGGAGGAACCCTCATGGAACGGCCCTTCCTCCGCCAGAAAGTCCCCCCCGCATTCACTGGGATGTCTCCCACATTTTCCTTCTGCTGGAGAGCTCGGCCTCCCCTCTTTTGGGCTCAGAGACTTATAAGCCCTGCGTTTCCCCCGCTCTTTGGTTAGTTTTCCCCAGGGTCTCATCTGACTCCCTAGAGATGATTGTCCCCAAAGCAGGCCTGTCTCGGCTCCAGAGGTGTTTTGTGGGAACAAAGGGAACCCTGTCCTTGCAAAAAGCCCTGAAAAGGCCAAGGCAGCAAAATCTGCTCCCCAGTGTTGTGGGGAAAGTATCTGAGAGTAAATTCCCATCTCTCTGCGCTTCTTCTTACCAGATTTTGCCAGAAGGAAGAAGAGGGTTATGGCTAAGCCTTTGCCAAGTTACCTTGCAGGTGTCCAATTGCAATAGCTTACCTGGATGCAACCTGCTGTATGGCTTTGGGTAACCGCAAATATAACCCCCAGTGAGGCTCCCTGGCAATGATGGCATTTTATTCTTCCATCTGTGCTTGGCACAGAACCCCACTGAGTTCTTGATGGGGTATAAACAACTGCCATTGGGGCACTTTTTGGAGTGGGAGGGAGAGACAAGGTGTTGGCCCTCCACAATATATATTTCTCTAGATATAATCCTCCTCCTCCTCCCCCCCTGAGATTTACAATCAAACACTCCACAGAGGCTGGGGGCAGATGGTCTCTCTTCAGGAGGGCAGGGATTAATTATTTTCTTCCAAGACAAACAAAAAGCCGCATTTAATTTTCAGAGGCAGAAATGATATAATTGAAATTGGTGTGTGTGTGTGTGTGTGTGT